ACCGGTGGTGGCGGGCCATCAGGTCAGGAGTTAGCCTCAGGCAGCAGCCACACAAGGTATCTGAGGCCTGTGCTTAAAGGGACCTCCTCCCCCCCAACAGCCGGTTCTAAGGTTTCCCTGATTGATTGCCTACCTCGATGAGGGACAGCAAAGCAATTTTTTCTCTGCATGCTCTGGTTGCCTTCACTCGGGACACCACAACACTCTGCAACATGGAGCCGGAGCTGCTCCTGGGCACTCTGGTGCTTCTCTTGGATACGTTGCTGTGAGCCTGGCTGCACTTTCTGCAGGCTGCCATCTGGGAGGTCCATTGGGGGGCTGTCAGTATCCAGAAGGCCCTGCAGGAGATCTTCTACCCTGAGGAGCACTAAGAGCCTCCCTGGTCTGCCCCACTAGGGGCTTGACACTCATTCCTCCCTCACGTGCTGCCACCCTCCCTAACCCCCCTTCCTAATGTCAAATAAAATACAAGTATTTTCATGAACACAAACTCTCTTTATTTAACAAAACTGGGGGGGGGGAGGGGAAGGAATGAAACTCTGGTGAGACTGGGGAAAGGAGGCAGGATAGAGGAGAAGAGAGGGTGGGAGAGGAGAGGGGGAAACCTGGGAGGAGGGAGCTAGGAGGAGGGAGCTAGAAGGGGGAAGCAAGGGGAAGAAGAACTTGATTGTCATGCAAACCTGCTCCTACATTCACACGTGGCCTTTGGTGGCCAGGCTGGCAGCTATCCTGCCATAGAACGCCGTGTTCCTTCATCTAGTGCGGAGATCATGGACATTGGGGGCATCCCCCCAAACCTGAATAAGTTCCCTGATCTCCGCACTAGACCAGGAAGGTGCCCGTCTTCTCCGGACCCTGGGAAGCTCCCGGGAGCCGCCAGCCTGATCCCGGGAAGAGGGGGCGGGCTGGGGGGCATCGGGTGGGTGGCTCGATCGGAGCTGGCACAGGCACTGTGGCCAGGGTCTACCCCTTTAATGGCTCCGGGGCTGGGGGAGAGGAGAGGAAGTTTTCCTGGTTGTTCCCAGAGTGGCCACCAGGGCTCCCTGGGAAGGGCTGGAGGCCCCCTATTTCGAATTAAGTGTCTATGCAGTGCTTATTTCAAATTAGCTATTTCAAATTTGGCGTTACTCCTCGTGGAATGAGGTTTACCAAATTCGAAATAAGCGCTCTGCTGTTTTGATTTAATTTCGAAATAGCAGTTTGGTTGTGTAGACGCTAGGAAAGTTATTTTGAAATAAGGGCTGTTATTTCCAAATAACTTTGCTGTGTAGACATACCCTCAGACTATAAAGTACATCTTCTGCCACCTAGTAGAAAGAACTAAGTAGACAAGCATGTATCATTGGAATACACATTCCTTTCTGTGACAGAAAGAACATACATATCTAATTACTATTGATCTTTTGTCTGAATGTGATCAAATTTCAGTTGATGTTGTTTTTTTTAAAAAAAAATCTTTCCTGAGATTCTCCAACCAATGAAAATTGAGACTGACTGAATATAATCTTGCATTTAATATATTCTTGGTTTATACTTTGTTATGAAGCATTTTATCAATTACACATTTAGCAACTTAAGTTCATTTGATTTTTTTTCATTTATAAGTTTACTTGTAGTAATTTTTTAATTAAATGATCAGAAAACACATTAACATAAAGAGCATAAGAATGTCCATACTGGATCAGACCAAAGATCCATCTAGTCCTCTGATAGTGGCCAATGCCAGTTGCCCCAAGAGAATTAACAAAACCAGGTAATCATCAAGTGATCCATTCTCTGTCGCCCATTCCCAGCTTCTGACAAACAGAGGCCAGGGTCACCATCCCTGCCCATCCTGGCTAGTAGCCATTGATGGACCTAACCTCCATGAATTTATCTAGCTCTCCTTTGAACCCTGTTATAGTCTTGGCCTTCACAATATCCTCTGGCAAGGAATTCCACAGGTTGACTGTGCATTGAGTGAAGAAGTACTTCTTTTTGTTCGTTTTAAACCTGCTACCTGTTAATTTGGTGTGGATGATCTCTAGTTCTTGTGTTATGGGAAGGAGTAAATAGCTCTTCTTTATTCACTTTCTCTACACCATTCCTGATTGTATAGACCTCCATCATATCCCTCCCTTGTTTGCCTCTTTTCCAAGCTGAAAAGTTCCTATTGTATTAATCTCTGCTTATATGGCAGCCCTTCCATACCCCTAATGATTTTGTTGCCCTTTTCTGAACTTTTTCCAGTGCCAAGAGATCTTTTTTGAGGTGAGGAGACCACATCTGCACGCAGTATTCAAGATGTGGGCGTACCATGGATTTATATAGAGGCGATAAGATATTCTCTGCCTTATTCTCTATCCCTTTTTTAATGATTCCCAACATTGTTTGCTTTTTTTGATTGCCGCTGCTCATTGAATGGATGGATGTTTTCAGAAAACTATCCACAATGACTCAAAGATCTCTCTCTCTCAAGTGGTAACAACTAATTTAGTCCCCCATCATTTTATACGTATAGTTGAGATTGTTTCCCAATATGCATTACTTTGCATTTGTCAACATTAAATTTTATCTGCCATTTTGTTGCCCAGTCACCTATTTTTGTGAGATCATTTTGAATCTCTTCACAGTTTGCTGTGGACTTAACTATCTTGAGCAGTTTGGTATCACCTGCAAATGTTGCCACCTCACT